ATAAGTATAGATAAAGTAGAATTAAAATAGAATAGCCACTGGCGTGCGGTTCCTGAGATTCCATTTTCCAATAGGGTTGACAGGAGAATCTGGTGGTTCACCGTATCAAAAGCAGCGGACAGTAGTGTTGGGGTACTCAGACTCGTACTCTGACTCGAGTCCGGTCTCGAGTACAATTTTTTAAAGGACTCGGACTTGTCACGGACTCGGATGCATTTTTACTCGGACTTGACTCTGACTCGAGCCTTTCGGACTCGAAAAATATGAGTCCAACCGAGTCCAGGGACAGTTGAGAAAATGTCACTGACTCAATGCATTATCACAAAAGTGATATTCAGTATTTGCATGTGTTTTTAAGTCTTGTCCAGTACTTGAAAGCCGACGGGTTTCTGTGCTCAGCCTCACACACGGAAAGCGCGCTCACAGAACGCGCCTCTCAGTCAGAGTGCGAATGCTGAGTTTTCTTTCGCTTATGTTCTCTTAAGTTCTGTTATTGCTACACACTTACACGAAAAGTTGTCAAAATGCCCGTCTTGGAGACTATTCATGTAAATGCAGTCGGTTTTGTCTTAAGTGAACTTGAACAGTTGGGAGAAATACAGAGGTGTCAAAATATTTGATCAATGCGTCAGATCTTAAAGCAACAGCGTAAACCTGCAGCTGCCGACTGCGTCATAAATGTTAATCAAACAAAAGAAAAGGAAACTGCTCTTGACTGAATCACTTATTAACTTTAATAAGAATCATCTATATTTAATGTATACAGTGAAGATTATTTTTACATTTATTACTTCATGAAATGTCTGTAGTAGGCTATTTCTGTAGAAGCCTTCACTACTGAAAAACTTTAAAACACTATTTAATTTGTATTTTTTAGTAATATATATATTTAGCTTGTAAGTAATACTTGGAGTGTTTACATTTTGAACTTGTTGGGACATTTTTTGGTCCCCATGAGGAAACAAGGTTACAAATCATACAGAAGTGTATTGAAAATCTAAAAATGGCTGTAGTTTTGTGTGAGGGGTAGGTTTAGGGTACAGAAATATAAAATACAGTTTGAACAGTATAAAAAGTATTATGCCTATGGAATGTCCCCATAACAGGGGCAGTCGTGGCCTAATGGTTAGAGAGTCGGACTCGTAACCCAAAGGTTGCGGGTTCGAGTCTCGTACCGGCAGGGATTGTAGGTGGGGGCAGTGAATGTACAGCTGTACAGTGTGTGCACTTCTACAGTGTGTGCACTTAGGATGGGTTAAATGCAGAGCACTAATTCCTAGTATGGGTATAAGGACATCGGTAAAATAGTCCATGTGACATCAGTGGCTCAACTTCAGTTTTGCGAAGCTACGAGAATACTTTTGTGCATTATAAGTGATATTCAGTATTTGCATGTGTTTTTAAGTCTTGTCCAGTACTTGAAAGCCGAAGGGTTTCTGTGCTCACACACCGAAAGCGCGCTCACAGAACGCGCCTCTCAGTCTGTCTGCGAATGCCGAGTTCTCTTTCGCTTAAGTTCTGTTATTGCTACACACTTACACGAAAAGTTATGTCAAAATGCCCGTCTTGGAGACTATTTATGTAAATGCAGTCGGTTTTGTCTGAAGTGAACTTGAGCAGTTGGGAGAAATACGTATGTGTCAAAAATTTTGATCTATGTGTCAGATCTTAAAGCAACAGCGTAAACCTGCAGCCGCCGACTGCGTCATAAATGTTAATCAAACAAAAGAAAAGGAGAAAATCACTCACTGCTCTTGACTGAATCACTTATTAACTTTAATAAGAATCATCTATATTTAATGTATACAGTGAAGATTATTTTTACATTTATTACTTCATGAAATGTCTGTAGTAGGCTATTTCTGTAGAAGCCTTCACTACTGAAAAACTTTAAAACACTATTTAATTTGTATTTTTTAGTAATATATATATTTAGCTTGTAAGTAATACTTGGAGTGTTTACATTTTGAACTTGTTGGGACATTTTTTGGTCCCCATGAGGAAACAAGGTTACAAATCATACAGAAGTGTATTGAAAATCTAAAAATGGCTGTAGTTTTGTGTGAGGGGTAGGTTTAGGGTACAGAAATATAAAATACAGTTTGAACAGTATAAAAAGTATTATGCCTATGGAATGTCCCCATAACAGGGGCAGTCGTGGCCTAATGGTTAGAGAGTCGGACTCGTAACCCAAAGGTTGCGGGTTCGAGTCTCGTACCGGCAGGGATTGTAGGTGGGGGCAGTGAATGTACAGCTGTACAGTGTGTGCACTTCTACAGTGTGTGCACTTAGGATGGGTTAAATGCAGAGCACTAATTCCTAGTATGGGTAACCATACTTGGCCACATGTCACGTCACGTCACGTCACGTCACGTTACGTCATAATAATAGGGATATCAGTGAGAGAGTGTATGTATACACTGCTGTACAAAAGTTTGGGATCAGTTTTTAATGTGGGATCAAAGGGATCAGATTTTTAGTCTTTCTGTTCATCATGGCTGGATTTATTTGACATTTTATTTGACATTATTTAAAAATACAGAAAAAAAAAACAGTAATATTGTAAATTATTATTACCATTTAAAATACTGGTTTTCTATTTTAATATACTTTTAAAATATAATTTATTTCTGTGATCCAAAGCTGAATTTTCATCAGCCATTACTGTGAAATCATTCTCATATGCTGATTTATTATCAATGTTGCAAACATTTGTGCTACTTAATTTTTTTATTTTTTTTAACTTGTGATACTTTTTTCAGGATATTTTGTTAAAGTTAAAAAGAACAGTGTTTATTTAAAATAGAAATCTTTTCTAACAATGTAAGTCTTTATTATCAATTTTTATCCATTTAATACATCCTTGCTGAATAAAAGCATTAAAAAAGAAAAGAAAAAAAAAAGAATAAAAAAATGAACGACCCCAAATATACGGTAGTGTATATTGTTACAAAAGATAAAAGATTTCTATTTGAATAAATGTTGTTCTTTTTAATGTTTTATTCATCAAAGAATCCTGAATTTTCATCAGCCATTACTCCAGTCTTCAGTGTCACATGATCCTTCAGAAATCATTTTAATATGCTGCTTTTTTATCAATGTTGGAAACAGAACTGTGATACTTTTTCCAGGATTATTTGATGAATAAAGTTAAAAAGAACAGTGTTTATTTAAAATAGAAATCTTTTCTAACAATGTAAGTCTTTATTATCAATTTTTATCCATTTAATACATCCTTGCTGAATAAAAGCATTAAAAAAGAAAAGAAAAAAAAAAGAATAAAAAAATGAACGACCCCAAATATACGGTAGTGTATATTGTTACAACATATATATATATATCAGAGTTATATATGTATATATAGTTTAAACAACTACATTTTCCCCTAAAAAAACTACGAATATATAAATTATAGTGGGTTTGCTCCTCCGCCATGACACTCGCTGTGAGAAATGCTGCAAATGGACTGATACAAGTGGTGAAATGGTTCCTGTGGTTATAACTAGGCCTATAGTCAGAGATGCCACTGTGTGAATGAATAGTGATTCAGTAGAAATGCTTATTATGTCTGTTGCTTTAATCTGATCTAGATATTTTTGTTGTTTTGTGTAAAATGGCTTGATAGTATAAATGGTGGCAAGTGTGCCAAACCCTGACAAGCTTCTGCACGATTGTAATATTTGTGATGCTACAGTTTGTCATTTAAGTACACAGGGGTTTATAAATATGTTTGATGTGTACTTTTCTGACACCTCAGCTGTGCCCACGACTGCAGAAAACACGTCTCTCTGTGACTCCCTGTATCTAATATATACATAACACACGCACACGGCCATTGTCTCTTCACACGTCTAACTCAACCATGGCAAGCCCAAAATGTCACTCATTCAGAAACACAAGCCCCAGTACCTATACACTCAGTACAGACACACACAATATGACGTAGAAAGTGTTACAAGAGACGAGAAACACCTGCACGCAAACCTTTGATGTACAAAGATACACTTTGGATTCCATTCTGTGTATATGAATTACTCTTGTATGTAGATGAAAGAATATTGATTTTACACATTTCTAACATATCTAACATATTTCTAGCATATTCTAACATATTTAACAACATTACAGTGTTGTCTTTTGATTTTTTCACATATCCAGATATAGACACTCAACTATACAGAACTATTGAAAAAGCATGTTTTTCCTTGATATTTCTATAGAAGTACAAACTTCTCCAGCCTCTGATTTTTGTCTGCCCATGTAATTTAATCTACCTCACACAAAATGTGAAAAGTGGCAAGTCAATTAGTCTGCATTTACACTCTAAAACTTTGCACATCTTATTTTGTAATATCAGACTTTTTCATCTTGTTGCTACGATTATCACTGTTTTGGTCATCAAAATTTTGGATTAAAATCCCACATTAAAAGATGGTTGTCACTTTGCAATGTGTTGTTAGCAACATTAAAAATTTACCTTTTATTCAAATTGTGTATGGGTTACATATAGAAACTGAGAAAAGAGCACTTCACTGTTGTGTCACTTCACTTCATCGCAAGCTGACTAAGATTCCGATTGAATGCTTCCAGTCATCTGGAATTTACAGGACCACAGTAATGCCAGAATCATTCGGCAACTATAAGCATAACTCACTAACGGACAACACATGTTACTCGATGACTTGCTTAGTGGAAGAGATATGATTTCTTAATATGATTTCAAGAGAAAAGCAGTTTTCAAAGACACTCAATTTCTGATGAATTGTGCAAGGACGTGAGCACATTTTACAAGATGGAATCTCATAGTTATAGCAATATCTACTTGGTATGAATCCACTTTTAAACACTTTTGATTGGCCACAGGGTGTTCACAAAAATACCCACAGCAGTTTTTGAAAGCAGCTGTCTATCTAATCTATCTCTAGCATTTAAAAGAAAGATTAAAGAAAAAATTTAATGTTATCAAAAACAGGCTATTGAAAGTTTGTGTTTATACTCACTTTAACTGCAGGATCTCTGTTAGTTGTTTACTGTGATCAGCTCGTATCCTACTCAGCTCATTGTCACGTTCAGACAGAGTATTCTGCGTAGACGACAAGTGTTGTCTTGAGGCGTCTAACTCTTTTCTGGTTTTGTCTAGCACTGCCATCAAATCTTCCAACTATGAGAGTAAAATTATATAAACATGTTTATCATGCAATATCCATGTATATACTTTCTATCTCGGCCATTCCGTGTCAAATCAAAAAAAATTCAGAAACTTCCCTGGGTCAAATTTTTAATTTTGCTAAGATTTTTTTCTGAAGAAAGTTAAACATGTATAGTGATGAAAGCCAAAATATTAAATGTCATGGATGAATATTTACTGTGTAATCCACTATTTTGTAGAGGGGGGACAAAATGGCAATTTTCACCTGAGATTCGGAGCCAAATTATAGGGGTGTATAAATGATTTTAGAAAGATGGCAGCATCATAATATTACAGTATTTTTAAATGTTTTTTTTTTTTTTTTATATGTTGACTTTATATATGGTTCGGTTCCAGAGATATTGGAATTTCAATATGGCTCCAGGAGTAAATTGTTAAATTGTACACATGTTCAGTGGTCAAAAACCAAATGTGTGTCACTTTGAATAAATCAATTTGATGCAGTCATTTACATTTACATATTTGTTATTGTCATTTAGTTATTTTTTTTATTTCATAAGTTGTTTTTGTTTTTTTATTGTTTAGGTGGAGGTTTTAAATAAGCCCTTTTGGGTTTTCCGCCTCTCCCTGCACAGTATATGGATCGAAAATAAGTCATGTTGAAACTAGAAATGCATCGTTTCCCTCTATCAAAATAATTGTATAGGACATACCTGTTTGAGTGTCATAAATATTATTTTTCCAAAATTAGCGTGCCTGTAACTTAGGAAGTATTAAAGTTATTTTAATATGATTTTAAATTCTGGTTCCTAAGAAACTTTTCTTTTGGTTCTTCATTTTAAGAAAAGCTACAGACTGGATTATTGAAAATGAACATTCATTCTCTAAAAGTAGGAGGCACTTTTGGAACATCAGAAATATAGAATGAGAAAAGTGTGAAAAAATATAGCCTATATTAACAAAGAAAGTCCACTAATGAGTTACCAGCGTAAGCCTGTGTGCAAAGGCTGTCTAATTTTAAACTTTAAAATACATTTATTTTTAGTTATTTTAACTACAAATGTAAATAAAACTGAAAAAATAATGAAAAAGCAATTATACATTTACACACCTAAGGATTATATCAACCAAAAAAGTAACTGCATACGTGTTCTACTTGTATGTGTCAGCCACACCACACGGATACGTTTTCTACATTTATTTACGCTTTGATTTGAATGAAAACAGCGTATCCGTGTGGTGCGGCTGACACATACAAGTAGAACAGCATATGCAGTTTGCGTTCAGTGGATACTCTCCAAAATGGTGCTACGGTGATGCGGAGGAGACGATTTGTTGAATAAAGTCATTATTTTTTCTTATTTTTGGAATAAATTTCGTTATTATGTTTTTTTCTCTGCGTACAAAAAGTATTTTCATCGTTTCATAAAATTCAGATTGAACTACTGATAGCAGATGGACTATTTTGACGATGTGTTTCATACTTTTCTGGGCCTTGACAGTGTTATTTACATGGCAGTCAATGGGACAGTCACAACCCTCCCGGTTTGTTCAGTGGTCAAAAACCAAATGTGTGTCACTTTGAATAAATCAATTTGATGCAGTCATTTACATTTACATATTTGTTATTGTCATTTAGTTATTTTTTTTATTTCATAAGTTGTTTTTGTTTTTTTATTGTTTAGGTGGAGGTTTTAAATAAGCCCTTTTGGGTTTTCCGCCTCTCCCTGCACAGTATATGGATCGAAAATAAGTCATGTTGAAACTAGAAATGCATCGTTTCCCTCTATCAAAATAATTGTATAGGACATACCTGTTTGAGTGTCATAAATATTATTTTTCCAAAATTAGCGTGCCTGTAACTTAGGAAGTATTAAAGTTATTTTAATATGATTTTAAATTCTGGTTCCTAAGAAACTTTTCTTTTGGTTCTTCATTTTAAGAAAAGCTACAGACTGGATTATTGAAAATGAACATTCATTCTCTAAAAGTAGGAGGCACTTTTGGAACATCAGAAATATAGAATGAGAAAAGTGTGAAAAAATATAGCCTATATTAACAAAGAAAGTCCACTAATGAGTTACCAGCGTAAGCCTGTGTGCAAAGGCTGTCTAATTTTAAACTTTAAAATACATTTATTTTTAGTTATTTTAACTACAAATGTAAATAAAACTGAAAAAATAATGAAAAAGCAATTATACATTTACACACCTAAGGATTATATCAACCAAAAAAGTAACTGCATACGTGTTCTACTTGTATGTGTCAGCCACACCACACGGATACGTTTTCTACATTTATTTACGCTTTGATTTGAATGAAAACAGCGTATCCGTGTGGTGCGGCTGACACATACAAGTAGAACAGCATATGCAGTTTGCGTTCAGTGGATACTCTCCAAAATGGTGCTACGGTGATGCGGAGGAGACGATTTGTTGAATAAAGTCATTATTTTTTCTTATTTTTGGAATAAATTTCGTTATTATGTTTTTTTCTCTGCGTACAAAAAGTATTTTCATCGTTTCATAAAATTCAGATTGAACTACTGATAGCAGATGGACTATTTTGACGATGTGTTTCATACTTTTCTGGGCCTTGACAGTGTTATTTACATGGCAGTCAATGGGACAGTCACAACCCTCCCGGTTTTCATCCAAAATATCTTAAATTGTGTTCCGAAGACGAACAAAGCTTTTATGGGTTTGGAACGATATGGGGGTAAGTGATTAATGACAAAATTTTTATTTTGGGGTGGAGTGACCCTTTAATGCGCATCTCCTATATGAAAAGCATTTTAGGGGGCCCTTGGCTTTTGGGGGCCCAAGGTCACCTACCTTTGCCTAATGGGTAAGTCCGCCCCTGCTCACAGAAACTAATGTAGGATGTCACGGTGTCAGTGAGCTCATCCAGATCAGTGGCTGCAGCCTCAAAAACACTCCAATCAGTGCAGTCAAAGCAGGCTTGTAAATCCCGCTCTGCTTCATTTGTCCATCTCTTTACAGTTTTTACAACAGGCTTAGCAGATTTAAGCTTCTGCTTGTAGGCTGGTAGAAGATGGACCAAACAGTGATCAGAGAGTCCCAGGGCCGCTCGGGGGACAGAGTGGTATGCATCCTTTAAAACTATGTAGCAATGGTGCAGTATATTGCTGTCCCTGGTGGGACATGTGATGAGCTGTCTGTATTTAGGCAGTTCGCGGGTGAGATTAGCTTTTTTTAAATCACTGAGAATGACAATGAAAGAGTCCGGGTAATGCTGCTCTGTGTGTGTGATCTGATCAGCCAGCTGTTCTAGCGCTGCGCTCACACGCGCGTCAGGAGGAATGTACGCACTCGCCAGAATAAACGAGGAAAACTCCCGCGGCAAATAAAAAGGCTTACAGTTAATAATGAAAGCTTCCAAATTTGGGCAGCACATCTTCTTTAAAACTGTAACGTCTGTACACCAGCCTTCATTGATATAAAAACATAATCCACCGCCTCTCATTTTCCCCGATGACTCTGTGACACGATCCGCTCTGAACAGCTGGACACCCGTTAGATGAAGCGTACTGTCTGGGATGGCTCTAGTCAAACAGGTTTCAGTGAAGCAAAGCGCGGCAGAGTTTAAAAAGTCCTTGTTTGTGCGGGTAAGGAGTTGTAGTTCATCTGATTTATTTGCTTGGGAGCGGAGATTCGCCAGTTGAATGCTCGGCAGAGGAGTCCTAAAACCGTGCTGTCGGAATTTCACGAGCGCACCAGCACACTTCCCTCGTTTGCGTCTCTTGGAGCGCTTGTATAGATCTTCCAATCTCTGTGTAAAAGTAACATTATGATGCTGCCATCTCTCTGAAATCATTTTTAACCCCCTGTAATTTGGCTCTGAATCTCAGGTGAAAATTGAAAAAATTTGTTGTCTTTTTATCCTAAATCATAATTACAAACACAGTATGATTAAACTAGTAACACACAAACAGCTGTACTTTAAAAAAAACATATTCAAGACATTGAGTGATCAGGGTAGGCTGGAAAATGTAAGTGAACTATTGTGCTAAAACTTCTCCAAAAGTTTACTGGTCAGTTAAGGAGATGAGATTGGAAGTGCACCTTAAATAAAGACACACAAAGCTTAGTTACCGACACATCTGTTTTTTTTTTTCTGAAGAAAGGCTGGACAGTGTGAACAATGCTTTGATACAAAAATCTTAAAATGCAATACAGAAATACACAAACTTGGAAAATGTCTTACCTGTCTTGAAGTATTAGCACTCATTTCTCCAGCTTGTCCTGGATTCACAGACTGCTTTTGGTTCTGTTCTTTCACTTGTCTGCAACACAGAATATTTAAATGATTGCATATAGAAAAGTGTTCTGCATCACATTATACATCACAAGTGTTCTTTGGCAGAGTGCACAAGCAAGCAATTAAAACTGATATTGTGTGGGTCTGAGCATTCGTGTCTGTCACTGCAACTACAAATACATTTGGGGGTTCAGTATGGAAGAAAAATAATGACAAATGTCTTTGAAACAAAAAAACATGTTGAATTGCACTAACTGAAAAAATAATGCATTGCATTAACAGTGCTTGCATTTTAATGCCGTGTATTTTCAGGGTTTGCATTTTTAGGGTCTGAAATTTGACATAGTTGTTTATTTAAGCTGTGAATATTTCAATTCAAAACATTTCACACACATTTTCATAATTAAAAATTCAATAATTCATATTCACCTTCCAGAGTTCACTTCCGAAATATTAAATCTGTTAAAAATATGATGTATGATATTCGACAGGCAATTTTCAGTCCATTTTATTTCAGTTTACTAATTCGCTTCCACAAATTCAGTGGTTCAAATTCAGCAGAAAATTCTGCATTGCACATCCGGGAACAGCAGGAATAGCAGTAGAGTACAGATGCATTATCTCCATCTGCTGTTAGTCGCTCATCAGCAGGTGGTGCAAGACCAAACCAACAGGTAGAGCAAGTCATTCATTCACAAAAACTGATCTGCAGAAAAGGAGCAAGCGGTAAATAGAAGTTATGATTATCAGGGCCAGTATGTGGAAATATATATGTGGAAAAGCTGATTAAGACCCAAAAGCTGTGTTTACATTTAATTCAGCATCTTCACTGTTACTCGTTTCGCCGTGTAGCCTATATGTAAGCAGCTTTCTCTACCAAACGAGATTATAATGCTATTTTACCTGATGCTGATATACAGAACTAACATTACATCTAAGACATATATTGTTTTCGGTTGCTTAGTTTCCTTAACTGTATATCATGGCTTGTGTGATGCTGAGTTGTAATAGTGGGATTTCCCTCTGACGTCACACTCCAGGATTCCCCAACGACGCTTAACTCGCCTCAATTAACTAATATAGTGACATAAACAAGATCTCAGATCTCAGTATACACCTTACTGATGATGCAAACTATACAGGCAAGAAGATGTACTCAGAATATAAACGTAACGTGCAAGGTTTCACATGGTAAGTTCTACTTACCGCTTGCTCCATTTCTGCAAATCAGTTTTTGTGAATGAATGACTTGCTCTACCTGTTGGCTTGGTCTTGCACCACCTGCTGATGAGCGACTAACAGCAGATGCAGATCATGCATCGGAACTCTACTGCTATGTCTGCAGTTCCCGAATGTTCAATGCTGAATTGTCTGCCGAGTTTGAACCACTGAATTTATTGAAGCGAATTTGTAAAGTGAAATAAAATGGACTAAAAATTGCCTGTCGAATATTAAATATAGTATTTTTTAACAGATGTAATATTTCGGAAGTGAACTCTGGAAGGTGAATATAAATTATTGAATTTTTAATTATGAAAATGTGTGTGCAATGTTTTGAATTAATATATTCACAGCTTAAATAAACAACTATGTTACATTTGTAATCAGTCTTTAATACACATTTTAAACACAAATTTCTTAAGACATTTTGAGAAATTACCTTTATGAATATAAATAATATTGATGCCCTTTGCATTAGCATATTGATTAGTATATTACGACTTTTCAGAAATCCAAAAGGAAAGAAAGCCGGGATGGTAACACTTGTAACACTTTTTGTTTTAAATTTTGCACTATATATCACTAGCGCCAATAGTGCTAGTGAGATATAGTGCTATGGCATGTATCATAAACATAATTTATTCCCCTGCTGATCTTACAATGTACCCCACTACGGTGGTGAGTTACAACAACATAAGAAAACACAGACATCAGTTTAAATTTTCTACATTGATATATTTATTTATTTTCTCAATCATATATTACATGATAATAAAAATATAAAAATGCAGATTTTTATACTTTACTTTTGTAAATCTTTTAGATTTTTAATTTTTTACACTTCATCACTGTTACCGCAAGCAACAAATAACAAATAAGTAATTTTTAAGTCATTGGATCCTTTTTCCAACTCAGTGATTCTGTTTCTTTCTTTATTTTTTTTCTGACATGTTGGTGTTTTATCTTTCACTTGGATGTTATAAGTTGCACTGAGTAAATACAGCTGGATAAAACAAAAATTGTGTTTGTCTTCATTTCAGACTGCAAAGCAACAAAATGTGATTATTTTAAAGGGGGGTGATTCTTTTCTAAACCCACTGTATATTCCAACTCTTTCAATCATTCTCTATCTCATTCATTATTTATTCTTGTTATTTTTGGAGCTTGTTATTATTATTATTATTATTATTATTATACATGTGTTATACTGAATAAATTAGAATGACAAGAGGATGAGTAAATTACATTTTTACTCTAAACGTTTAGCCTTGGGTAGACTAATTAAATTCTCAAAACCTTGCTAAATATGTGCTAGAGTGAAATTACCTTATGAAAGATTTCTTAATAATTGGCATATACCTCTCCAGCTCAATGATTATCTTGTCCTGCTCCAGACGTTCAGACTGCAGCTCCCGCAAAACAGCCAGCAATCTCTGGACTTCAGCATTAGACTTCTCCAGTTCCTCCTTATGACGGGCCGTTTCTGTTTGGAGAACCTGCAATCGCTCTGACAGCTCAGGGTTCCAGCGAGCAACATGTTCAGCTTCAAACACCTTCACTCAAGCCAAAAAAAAAAAACCCACAAGGTCAACAAGGTTTATATACTTATACCATGGTTAATCTATACATGCATTCTAAAAAACACCATATTTAGGAATTGCAAGAGCTGTGCAGGTTGTGGTCTTTAGTGTCCTTGTTAGCATGACAATTTCAATCGAATTTTTACAGATGCATCTCAATCTGGATGCTCAAATCGGATTTCAAATTCACAACAAATTTACAATTCACAATGATGATATGAAAACCGATTATGGAAATGCTGGAAGACACCGCTTTTCAGTGACTGTGCTGTGACTTCAGCATGGGACATTATATCAGTCTCCTCTGTTGCTGAGTTTTTTTGTGCAAGAGAGGAGTTTTGTACTGCAACTTGACAGGCACTTATTCTGAGAGTGAGATGATGAACCTCCACTTTTGCTGCATCAGTTTTGAAAGCCTCGTCACATGCGTGGGTAGCCTGTGTCGTTACCAAAGCAACCCAAGCAGATAAGTTGGTAATATGTCTGGACACACAAATCTGAATTGATCGCTTGAAATTAATAATGCAGACAGACTGCCCACCTCCTCCCTAAACATATCATACTGTGATCCCTGAAATGGCATTCTTGATCTCTTCCCCATGAAGACTTTCCTTCAGCACCTAAGTTGCGGTGCTCCAGTTCATAAGATGTGCCGTTAAGGATGACGTTGCCAAACGCAGTGCATCTAGAATCTGTTGTGGATTTACCCGTCCGTTACTGAGTTTTTTATGAAGCTATTTTTGGTGAAAAACAACTGAGCACACTTTGTAGTTGTAGAGAATAGCCACACATGTGTATCAGTAAATTTGAAGCCACAGAGAAAAATATTTTAGGAGTTGTAAACTTTTAGATTTTTTTCTCTCCCCCACAGAAACACAAAACAACATTTCCACCTTTTAAATTCTTTGCTGCAAGTGAACAAATCCTATTTTATGAATCACAAATCGAAAATCAGTCGCTCACATTTTTTGCTACAGTTGTTGCAGTGAATATGGTGCAAAACACAATCATACACCCAAATCCAAAAATGTGCATTCATGGACACATTTTGCACATCCGCAAAGTAATATGTGAATTCATGCAATGTGTGTTGCACACTTGTAGAATACTTTCTCACAAATACTTTGCTTTTCTTGGATATTTTTTCTAGCACAATCACAAGTTCTTCAAGTTATCTATGTGAAATGTGGAGCAAGTGTTTTGTGCACCTGTAAAAGCAGGGGCGGGCACTGTTCAGAGATCATAGAATGTTGCCCAATCAAAAGAGCTTATTTGAGCATCTAGACGATGGGGCGGGGCAATGCACATGCACATTACTTTGTGAATTATTTTGTGAATTAACTATTTTTATATTTGATGTGCCAATATTAAAGGCTAGCTCTAGCGTCCTATCTTATTTGTTTAGTAACCATTTAAGTCAGGATGTATTGGTTAATGTTTTATTAAACTTAAAGGGGTCATATGATGCGATTTCAAGTTTTCCTTTCTCTTTGGAGTGTTACAAGCTCTTGGTGCATAAAGAAGATCTGTAAAGTTGCAAAGACTAAAGTCTCAAATCCAAAGAGATATTCTTAATAAAAGTTAAGAGTCGACCACGCCTACCTAAAACGCCTTGTTCTAACAAGCCCCCACATATCTACGTCACTATGTGGTAAGGGGCGTTAAATTTCCGACGCGTGCTTGTGGTGTTCGGCCAATCACAATGCACTGGGTCAGCTGGCCAATCAGAGCAGACTGCGCTTGTCAAAGGAGGGGGCTTTGTTGAAAACGATGTGTTTGAGAGAGGCGGGGCATAGAGGACCTACAATAATGTACAGTATTTGAAAAATAATGTGTTTTTTGAACATTAAAGCGTCAACATATTCTGTTACACAAAATAATGATCTTTAAAATAGCAACATATGACCCCTTTAAGACACATAATAGATGGATTGTTACTGTTTAAACGCTCTGGCACCTTCAAGTTCTTCAGGCAGAATAGAGATTTTTTTTTGTTTTGTTTTGATTTACATTAACAGTGCTTCATTCCATATGGCTTCTTCATCACTGCGCCATGGATCAGTGGATCAGCACACACTTTTTATTTTACACAAATTATAATTTAAATTATAATTCATTTAATTTCAGTAAGAAAACCGAACGTTAGTGGGTGATTTTACATTTTAAAGCACCCGCGGTGAGAAATTATGGAAGCATATAGGTAGCGAAATTCAATTTAAAATGCAATATGCAAAATGGCAATGCAATATTCAAAATGGCAATGTATTTCTGTATTTAAATTTACATTTTCCATTACCCATACGTGCAAAGTTTGGTGCAAAAGGAAAATGAAAATTAAATTATATAATTTACATTTGCCATTTCCAACAGTAGTCTTAATATGTAAATTGCATGCAAATTTGAATGCTTTATAAGTTGCGAAATGAAAATGAAAATGTATAACACAAATTGATTTGATATGTGTAACATCTCCAAGCAGAAATGGTAGCATAATGATCATTTAAATGCTATTTGTCCTAAATGCATTTAGACTAACAGCTAGAACACTTAGGACTGCATTTTCATCATGACGCCGAGGGATATTTGTAGCAAAATTCAATTTGAAAATGCATTCCGAGCTGACCACGCCCACCCTCCGTCAATCATTGCTTCAAGGCAGGGATTGGCGGAAGCATGTTACGTTTGGATCGTTTGAAACATGGCGGCTGGAGATCTGATAAGATCGTTGAATTCACTGGCAGATGAAGTGGAGCATGAACAGAGAAATATATGAAGCGTATTACATGCTTAAATCAAACGTTCGAACGACCGACCGATCGAACGTCTAACCGCCGACCGAACGTCTATCCGAACATCTTGAGCTTTGAGCGTCTTACACTGCGGGTGACCCACGTGACGTCAGCGTCTTGAAATTAGCGAGGAAAACAAATTTGGCGGAGTTAAAAACAAACATTGGCCCTCCAGGAGCGGGACTGAGAACCCTGACTAGATCTTCACATTAACCATTTTGCATATTGCATTGCCATTTTGCATATTGCATTTTAAATTGAATTTCACTACCTATATGCTTCCATAAGAAATAGCCTTTTAATTATTTATTTTTTAACTAAATGTTTGTTATTCAATATATTACAAACATGTTGATTTGGCAAAGTTAATTTGCATTACTTGGTATAAAGTGCTAATAAAAAAGTTTTCATGGCAAACTCATGTTTAATTACTGTAGGAAACTTTTTCCTCGTCGAAGCAGAAACCAGGAGACTGCACCAATTGTTTGACCCAGAAATGTGACTTGGTTTTTGTGAAAGCTGCATTTGTGTCCTCTTTTCTGCAAATAGTCCAACAATGTTGCCAATTCAGTTTGATGTACCTCGTGGTCTGTAGAGGTGATCAAAATATCATCGACATATTGAATCATAGTGGACTGTTTCAGACAGGAACCTTTTGCTACACTTTGCTTAAGATAATCATTTGTCTGATGTAATTTGCCTTAAATGCTAAATACAATGTACTTGTTTTTAGTTTTTCATGTGATGCTATGTCAGAACATAGGATCAGCATATTTAAAACAGATTCTTAAATCCCACATTACCTCACTTAATGTACTGTTACTAAAATATTTGGACCTATATTTCATATACGAGAAGCTTCATGTCTAGGACAACTAGCAAGCGCACACCAGAAGCACATATTCTATATGGTCCACAATACTATGCTTAAGGTCATTATGAAATTAAGGTAATGTGTCTGTACTATATATTATGTTATGATTGCACTGCACAATTAAATACAATCTTTGCTTAAATCAGGTAGTAAGTCAACATATTACCTCAGGGCGTTACGTTAACTCAAATTGAGAATCTCACCTGAAACCCGAAGCAATCTTCATCCATGCAGTTGATTTCCATATTTTGTCTTTAAATAATCTGTGGTTCATGGCATACAATTCAGAGTATTTCCCAACATTGAGCTCCCTGTCAATATCAGTCTCTCAACATCACGTCAGATGCTGACGCATTGAGGAAACACCTTTCTCCTGTAAATACTGAAGCCTGATTGAATAATTCTATTGCGTTTCAATAGCCAGTGGTGTTCAAGTGTGTGAATCTGGGAGTGGCACCACCCTATATAATGCGTCTTTTGGCGCCATTTCCTCAGAATATTCCTCCTTCATACTACACGCTAGAAGCCTTTCTTGCCGTGGATTCAGCAAGTGGATTATTCTCTTCCCCTTCAAGCTTTCCGCTGAGATTGATGATGTCAATCAAGCCTTGCAATGGCTGCACGGACATTGCTCGTGCGTCTTTTGCCTGGGCCACGGCCACACGGAAGCCACAATTGTCGACCCCAACTGTCCTCATTGCAAGGAGATGAACCTCCGTACAGGGATAGCCCACCTGCTCAATGAGCAGCCAACCCTCAGCTCGAAGCAGTCCTCCTCCACCGCCTCTGTTGAGCCGCGGAGGAAGAAGCTTTGTCACCCTGAGGTAGAAACTGGCAGGTCCAGTGGCGAGCTCATGCCGGCGCATTGCCTACATGCCTCCCTCTCTCTGGGTCCATCCTGCTCCCCAGTGGCATATACCGATGCGGGCTTCCATCCCCCTTTTGGCGCCAAGGACATGGTATCATTTGGGGCCCCCGATGAAGAACGTGAGAACGCCATGTCAACCGCTGCGACTGACTTGATCGATTGGGCCGCCAGTCCCACTGAGGATTTCCCGGCAAAGCATCACAGTGAGGCCGTGATGAGTTCATCCGCATTATATCCAAGGCAGTGGAAGTACTCGAGATGGAGTGGGCCCCTCCCACCGAACCAGAACGCAGCAGACTGGAAGAGTGGTAACTCCAGCCTGGCCGCCGTCGCAATGCGGGCTTCCAAAGGGCAGCCCCCTTTTTTCCTGAAGTTCACACAGAGGTATCTAAGATGTGGCATGCCCCGTATTGGGCATGTGCCCACATCTCT